AACCCAAATCATATAATGTTCCACCCAAATAAAATATTTGTTGGCAAAATATTTTCGATTGTGAAATAGACAAAAAAAGTTTGGATGGATTGATCAATGTAGCGAAATGTGGTGATGAAAGTCAGGAAACAAAAAAAAATGTTTACTTTTGACAAATAAAAAAAGAAAGAATCAAGAATTATTTATAAATGGAATACGGAAAATGACATGAATCGAAATGTATCGATTTCTGTCAATAGATATTTTACCCGGGAAAAGTTTTTTTTGTATTCACATTTGATCGATTGATGTAATTGTGGGTCTGATCTGTTTGAAAAAAAAATTCTATTTTTCAAACAAGGTCGATAGCCTGGTATTAAAACGGATTATTATTATTATTGTCGATTTGATTGAAATTTTGTTGATCTGCTTTTTTTTCTTTGGTTCTGGTTCTGAAAGAACAATATCTACACACAAACGCACTCATTGTTTTCAAATGAAAATGGCAGGAAATTAATTTTGAAAAAAAACAATGATTCAACAACAACAACAACAGAAATCCGACAACTTCTTGAGAAAAAAAACAAGATAAAAATGTCAAGAATGAACTGAAAAAGAAAGCAAAAGCGCTACAATGTTCAATCAAATGGAATTAATAAAATTTTTGTTTAAAGAAAAAATTCTTATCAATTTTTGCATGGATGCTTTTTTTAAAATTAAAAAAGATAAACAGAAGAGTAATTCCTATCAAAATCAAAACCAAAATGAGTCAAAATAGAATCGAATTTTATTCAAATCAACAAACAAAAGTAATTCAAAAGAATCATGTTCGGATGATATACATTGTTGTTGGTTGGTTGGTTGGTTTGTTTGCTACAATTACTTGTCGTTCTTCCTTCTGTCTGTAGTTTTTGTTTGTTTTTCTGGCTTTTCCAATGAATAAAAATTGCTACTACTACTGCAACAAATGAACGAAACAAAACCAAGTAATTCTCATAATTTTTCTTCAAAATCACGATCAACAAAACAGAATTTCCGTCATTTTTTTCGAATTAATAATGAAAATTCATCAAATGAGATTTGGGCAACAAAATTCACATGAAAAAACTACAAACAAACAAAATAAATGAATTGAAATGATTAGAGATTTGATGGGAAATTTTTTTTTCATGAAAAACGTAATAATTACAGGTAATTTTTATTTTCAATGTTGATGATGATTATTGTCAGAATTTCTTTCCCCTTTTTTTATCTATTTTCAACTAAAAACTTTTCCTGGTTTGAATACCGAAGAAGAAACATTCTGGTAAATCCATGAAAATCCTTCCAGGATTCTTTGCAGAATAAATAAATATTACTTTCTTGTAGCGATCACGGAATTTGTTAAACTGCACGCTAACAAGATTCTTTTGATGAAAAATTGTTTTTCTATATTTCTCTTGTGAATAAATGAAATAAGAATCTGCATTCAAGAAGAACAACAAGAAAAAAACTACAAATCATAAGTATCAAATTCATTATTTTCGCTACAATATTTTTGCTACAATAAAAAAGTAGCGAAAATAATTGAGGGAAATCTTCTGGCAACAACAAACAAACAAAAAAAAACGATAAACTTTTTTTCCTTCATTACACAATATATCATATCCAAATGTGTGTGTTATGCAATCACATACACACAGAGAAAAAAGAGAGAATTATTCTTGTGCGATATGATATGTTTTACAAGCTGTCATTCATTCATTCATTTTTTCTCATTTATGAATTCTCTAAATTGAAAACATTTTTTTTTGATTGTAGCAATTTATTATTTCAAATCAGGAAAAAAAATTGACAGAATTAATAATCCTGAAATATCCATTTTCCAAGCAAACAAAAAAATGGAAGAATCTGAAAGAAAATGAAAGAGTTTTTCCGAAATGACTTTCCCCATTCATCCACCCACCCACGCACACAGAATCGAATGGAATTCTGACCAAAATAATGAAAAAAAGAATCAGAATATTCTCCGGGTTCATACATGGAATGTTCATTTATTCATTCATTTATTTTCATATAAATATAGAGAATATTCTTCGGGCTTTTTTTTCCAGTTTGTTTGGTTCTGTCTGATAATAAATAAATATTGGTTGGTTATTTTTTAAATTGGATTTTTTTTTCTCGTTTGGTTCAGTTCTGTTTCATTGGCTGGATTCTGGCTGTGGCAATCAAATAAATGACTATAGGAAACTATTACATAATGAAACTGAGAGGATGGGGGGATAAAAGGAGAAAAAGATTACAGCATTTTCAAATGGCCAAAACGATTTTTTGGAATTGGATTTTTGGTTCTCTCATGGCCACGCACACACTAAAGATAAAACATGATCAATATACGACAAAAAAATGGATATTTTTTTGGTAGCGGCGACAAATGGTCATTGTCAATAATGGTTGGTTTGGTTGTTTAAAACAAATGGAAATTTTGCTACAAAAAAAAATTCCATTTGTAAATTGATGATTGCTACTTTTGCTCCAAAAAGAAGGGTTGTAGCAGTAGTCGATGATTCTGTCGGTGTGTATAATGTGTATCCATTTTTTTTTCGTTCAATTTTTTTCAAATTTTCCAAAAAAAAAAATTTTGTCAATTTTTTTCCATTTTATTTCCATCCAGTTCTTTTCATTCATTCATTTAGATAAAATATAATGGTTTTTTTTTGTTCGGGAAAATTTTTCCCAAGTTTACTCCCGTATATTACCATTAAAAAAAGCCATAAAATTTTTTGTTTCTGCACTAGGCAAAAAACAATCATCATCATCATCATCATCATTAACGACGTTCACAGCCACCCACATCCACCCACTGTATATATGATGTAGCAAAATGAATTTCGCTACAACTTACTGCCAGATACCGAATGGAAAGAAAAAAAATGACAAAAACATATAATCTATAGTGATGGAAGAAACTATGCTTTTTAATTTCATTATGTAGCAATTTAATAGAATAATAATAATAATAATAAAAATGAAAATTCTTCAACAACAACAACAAAAAAAAAAATTACGTAAGAAAAAGCTTTCTGTGAATAGTCGCCACTCCTTCATCATCATCATTAGTTGATTTCATCCGACCAAAGCAAAAAAAAAAACTGATGTAGCAAATCCAGAACCAAAAATACCAGTGGCTAAAGAATGAATGAAAAAACCTGTATTTTTTTTTGTTTTTGTTTGCTGGTTGGATTTAAGACCATTTTTTGAAAATTCTTATTTCTTTTATACCGAAAAAAAATTGCTATTATCATCATCATTCGCTACATTTAATGGATTCAATCTAATAATAATAATAATAATAATGAATTTTTTTCTCTTGTTTTATGGAAACAGAAACAGAAATGAATGAAATAAAACACACACACACACAATGTTAATACACCAGACATTTACTGTGTGGATACAACATCCCCACACACACCAATGTTACTAATGATAATGATTTTTCTTAAACAAAAAAGAAATTTTCCTCGAAAGACAAATGGCTAATCTTTATAATTTTTCATAAAGATTTCTTTCTTTTCATTTCGTTTCTGGGGGATACGGAAAATTTATTGCCCAATTTTTTTTTTGTTCCTGCTCTTTTGGGATTTGTTTTTGTTTCTTCTCATTCTTTCTCGATGGATGATTTTTCTTTTGTTTTTAAAATTTAATTATAAAGATTTTTTTTTTGTTTTCTTTTGTGCAGAATATTCTGCTACTAAAGAACTTTCTACGAAATTCATTTCTGTTAATTTTTCATTTTTCTTTTATTACCATCATCATGGTAATTGAGAAGAATTTTTTTTTTGGTTGAAACAAACAAACAAACAAACATAAAATTCATGTAGATTTAGCCTGTCATCATTATTATATTCGTAATAAATGAAAATTGAAAAATAAAATTTATGTTTTTTCTTTTTGGCGCTAAAGTTATTGAATATTATGTGTGTGTGGTTTTAAATGAGAAAACATTTTTTTTTGGAATATAAAAGTAGCAAATGAAAGAAAAAAGAATAAAAACATTAACATTAATGACAACAACAACAACATGCAATAAATTGAACGAAGAACCGAAACAAATAAACAAACAATAAGCAATAAATGTAGCGATTCTTTTATTTTCTTGTAAAAGCGCTACATGAAATCGCTACAATTACATAATAATAAAAACTTCGAAAAAGAAGACAAAAAAAAAGAAGAATTCTTCGATTTTCCCAAAAAAATATAGCATTTTCTTGAATTGTTTTTCGCTACAAACAAACGAAGAAAAGGATCAATGGCCCATTTCACTCAATTCATTTAATTAATTATTTTCATTCGTTACCAATAAAATGAGGAAAATTTCTTGGTAAATTCCCAAGAACTTTTTTTTTTTATTAGCCAATTATTTTCAATCGATTTTCATCAAAAAATAAACAATGAAAATTGTTTATTTTTCGTAGAAAATTTCTTTCCTTTTTGCTAAATTAGCATCATCAATAAATGAATGAAATTTCAATTCAGTGAAAGAAAAAAAACAGGAAGAAAAGTTGAATGAATAGAAATGTGAATTCTGTTTTTTCTTTTAAATTGAAAATTTTCTTTCATAAAAATTTAAATTTTTATTTTGAAATTTTTCATTCAGTACATTCTTTTCTTATTCTGAAAGAAGAAGAAAAAGATTTTCTAAGTAAATAAAAATTCTTTGAAATTTTTCAATTTCAATTTCCAAAATCTCATCTGGGTTTTTCAGAATTCAGCTTCGAGCAGAATTTCTCTCACTTTCTGTCTGACATTTCATTCGAATAATCATATTTATTTTTGGTTATTTCAAATTTTTTTTCTGACAAGAATTTCGAGAATTTCACTGTTTCTTTGATCTTTGTTTGTTTAAATGTTCGTGATGTGAATATCGTGGCTGACAACTTTGAATTTGATTTGTAAATGTTTGAATTTTTTAAAATATATCAAATCCTACTGCCATCTTGTGGTGTTGATCCAAATTGAAATATTACATTGTTTATGAACGGTAACTTGAATCGAGCTCATTTCGGCAGCTGCATGTTTTTTTCATTTTGAAAATTTTTGAAATATTTTCAATTTTTTTTTTTGTTTTTTTTTCGATTGTTTTTATCAATTGTCACAAGTCACTTTTTCATCTAAACAAAACAAAACAAAAAAGAAAAACATGAACGCACCACCATCATTCGAATCGTTTCTTTTGTTTAAAGGCGAAAAAAAGTTTGTATCGAATTTTTGTTGTTGAAATATCATTTTTTTCTAAAACAAAATCTCATCATCATTCCTGGTTATTGTAGGGTTACGATTGAAAAAGATACCAAAGTACCGAATGCATGTCTTTTTACCGTTTCGAAAGAAGATCATACACTTGGTAATCTAATTCGAATGTAAGTTATCAACTTCAGTTTTTCCCCATGGATTTCACTTGTTAATCTAAAATATTTTTTTTTTTGTTTTCGAAACCAGGCAACTATTAAAAGATCCAAAAGTAATATTTGCTGGTTATAAAGTACCACATCCATTACAACATGAATTTATATTACGTATACAAACAACACCGGATTATTCACCACAAGAAGCATTAATGAATGCAATTAAAGATTTAATTAGTGAAATGTCATTGTTGGAAGAACGTTTTCGTGTAAGTCAATTCATTATAACAAAATGTGATTCATTTTGAATTTAAAATTCAATTTTATTTTTCTTCTCAAAAAAAATTCAAGGAAGCAATTCGTGAACGTACTGAAGGTTATGATTAAAAATCATGGATAAATCACCATCTCAAATGTATCATAAGTAATCATTTCGAATTTTTGAATCATTTAGTGTTACCACGATTCACGTTTTCCCAACCAATTCCATCATCATCAACATTTTAACCTTTTTGTCTCTGCAGGGCAAAAAAATTTGTAAATTTTTCTTTTAAAAAAAGCTCTAATTTAAATAAAAGAAATATCATTTTGCTTCAAGCTAAATTGATTATTATTAATGGATTAAATTAAAATTTGTAAAAAAAAATTTCTTCAAAACAAAAACAAAAAAGAAAAAATTGATGGATATGGATAAAAAGAGATGGACAACAACAAAAATCGAATGTTTTTCGTTCTTGCATTTCGATATTCGAATTTTGTCAAAATCGATAGTGTTTTTTTTTTGAATCGCCCATCGAATCGAATCAAATCAAATCGAATGTTTTTTTGGTTTGGCAATTTAATAAGAATCGTTTTTTTCAGGATAATTATCTTCATAATCGTCATTAATAGCTTTTCCTCGTTCGTTCGTTTTGTTTTACATTTATAATCGATAATTATTTCAAAGCTTTTTTTTCATCATTATCATCATCATCATCAACAAAATTCATTGATTGATTGAATGTGATTAGAGAGTGAGGAATTTTGTCTGTTTCCAACTGCATTAGTGTGTGTGTTTGTGCGAGAATGAATCAAGCAAGATGAATGTTGCTGTTGTTGTTTGAATTGATTGGAATTTTGTTTTTGGTAAGGCCTGAAGAGATCGAAGATCATCGATATCCGTTTTCTCATGATATTGTTGATGATTATGGTATGTATCCTATTTTTGATAAAATCAAAATCCTGTTGCTTGTTTTTTTTTGTTTTTGTTGTAAAAGCAAAAAAAAAATAAAAACAAAAATTCCAATTCAATCAGTCAATCAGTGATTCGATTCAATTCGCAAGAAATTTCTTGATTTTTTTTTGTTATTTTACAGTAAACCAATCAACACTTGTTGCCTTGTTCTTATATCTGTGTTTCAAAAAAGAAAAGAAATTTTAATTTCATTAAATTTCATTGTAATTAATTTTTGTTTTTTTATTTTTTGTAAATCAAAATTATTATTACAAAAAAAACATCATCATTATCAATCATCATCATCACGATTAATGTTTGATAAAATTGATTGATTTGATTTACCAAAACAAAACAAAACAAAACAAAATCGATTCGAATCACCTTAACCGATTGATTTGATTTGATATCCAGCCAGCCATCGATTTACAAATTTAATTTGTTTTTTGCCATATCATAACAGCCATGTAACTTGCATAGTTTGCATCTTTTTCATTCCAAAAGAAACAATTTTCTCTCCGTCACTCTCCCTGTATGTGTTTCACATCTTTTTTTCAATTTGTTTTTTGTCATCATCATCATTGTGAAAATATTGTGATCGATCGATCGATCGATCATATCTGGAAAGAAGAGGATCCATTTTGTTGTTGAACATTTTTTTTTGTTTCAATTGTGTAAATCTTCAATCCTTTTGATGTTGTTGTTGTTGTTGTCGTCTTTTATATGAAAAAAATCATTATTCAACAACAACAAGGATATCATTATCATTCAACAAGGATAGCCAAACAGCATTTTGGCGATTTTTCTCATTTTCTTCATCGCCATCATCTTCTGCTTCAACTTTTCTGGTTTCAACGATTTGCTCTAGTTTTTTTTCTTTTCTTCAAATCATTGCCGTTATCGTGTTGCACATTATTTACTCTCCACCATATCGTCTAGCATCATCATCATCATCAAATTTTATCCTTAAGTGTTTTATTTTTTGAAGGTCCAGTTTGTCTTGTTTGTCTATTCTGTTTGTTGATGTTTGGTTGATTTTCTCTTTATTGTTTGAAAAAAAATGATAATAACGGTTCGTTTGGCTGGTTGGTAGGTCAACATTATCATCATCAAAAGCAACAAAAAAATTTCTTTGAATTTTTTTTTCAAATAAATTGTCCTCATTTCATTCACGAACAACAAACAGAAGAAAATACATTATCATCATCAAATAAGAAATTTTATCAAATAGAATTCTTTTGTTGTTGTTGTTGGTGAATCACATATTTGATTTTTTTTTTGTTTTTTCAACAAAAAAAGAAAAAATTTCACAAAAAAGAAAAATCTTTATTTTGAACCAAAAAACTTCGAACGAATCATCATTTGGGAATTCGAACGAATCATCAACAACCGACAAAAAAAACAAGATGCGTTTCACAAATGTTGTTATGTGGTCATTTTTTACCGCATTTTTTCTTCTTTATTTAATGGCCATACGTTTAGTACGTGGTCAATTTATATTATCATCATCATCAACAACGAATCATCCACAACAACAAAAATTTATTGATTTTAATTATCATAATCATGAATCAATGGAAACAATAATGCGTACATTTGCACAAACATATCCAAAATTATGTCAATTATATAGTATTGGAAAATCTGTACAAGGTATGTTCTTTGATTGATCTTTGATGTTTGTTTTACTTAATCTAATCTATTTTAAGGACGTAATCTATGGGTATTACTTATAACAAAAAATCCTAGCAGCAGTAATGATGATGATACATTATTAAAACCAAATGTAAAATATGTTGCTAATATGCATGGAAATGAAGCTGTTGGTCGTGAATTATTATTACATCTAATTGAATATTTATTAACAAATTATGAAAATGATCCATATATTCGTAGTCTTGTTGATAATACCCGTATACATTTGATGCCATCAATGAATCCCGATGGATTTGAATCATCACGTGAAGGACAATGTATTGGTGGTAATGGTCGTTTTAATATGAGAGGAATTGATTTAAATCGAAATTTTCCCGATAAATTTACTATGCGTAATGAAAAAGAGCAGGAAGAAGTTTCAGCAATACGTCGTTGGTTAGAACATATACCATTTGTTTTATCAGCAAATTTACATGGTGGTGCATTAGTTGCTAGTTATCCATATGATAATACACCTGTTAATAGTAAGTATTTGAAAATGGTTTTGTGTTGATATAGCTGTTTTTTATCAATCTTTTCATCCAATAAACAGTGTTATCAAGATGGAAACTATCATATGAACCATCATTAACACCGGATAATGATGTTTTTAAACATTTAGCCGAAGTTTATTCATTTAATCATCAAACAATGTATCAGGGAAAGCCATGTCCAGATGGTTCAAGTGAATCATTTCCAAATGGTACAACTAATGGTGCAAAATGGTATCCTTTTTCAGGTAACAATAATTTGTTGAACAACAATTGCGTTGAAATAGTCGATATATGTGCTAAATAATAATCATTTCTCAAAAAGGTGGTATGCAAGATTATAATTATGTACATGGTTCATGTATGGAGATAACATTAGAATTATCATGTTGTAAATATCCACCACATAGTCAATTACCAGAATTTTGGCGTCAAAATAAAAATGCCTTGATTGCCTATCTAAATGAAGTACATCGTGGTTTGCGTGGTTTAATAACCGATCAACATGGTCAACCTGTCGCTAATGTTCAATTGAAAATAAAAGGTCGTGATATACCATTCAAATCAACAAAACGTGGTGAATTTTGGCGTATATTATTACCCGGTAATTATCAATTACAAGCAAAAGCAATCGGTTATCAAACATTAGAAAAATCATTTCAAATTAATGATGGACAAATTACTTATCTAAATTTGGAATTAAAACCATCATATGGACAACAGGTATGATTATAATTTGAATTAATTACAAATCAAAGAATTTTAAAAAATTATTAGATCAATAATTAATTATTAGTAGCAATCATTACACGATAATAATAATAATAATGATGATCAAATTACTACTACTACTACTACTACCATCACCACCACCAAATTACCCATAAAATCAGATAAACAACATCCGTTTCCTTTTGAATTGAATGATCCATACTTATTTACTACCAAAACTATTTCTACTAAAACACCATCCACTATTTTTACTAAAACGACTAATTTGATTAATGATTATTCAAATAATAATAATAATCGTAATCATTCATTAACAATCGATTGTAATAGAATATTTCTGTTGTTGTTGATAATAATTATCATCATGATAATATAGATTATAGGTTTATAGTTTTTTTTAAATTAATTAATTTCAATCAATCAATCAATAATCGATCAAAATTAAAAAACCAAAACCAAACAAAAAAAAATAGTTGCCGTTAACAAGTAATAATGATGATAATCCTAATCAATTCGCTCATCATAATCATAATGTATTATCATTACCATCATCATCATCGTTATCATTTTGGCCATCATCATCATCAACAGTGAATGATCATTCAACATCATCATCGATGACAACATTAAAACCGGGAATAAATTTTGGATTATGGTCAGATTGGAGTTCACGGAATCGTTTACAACAATTAGCAACAGATATTTTTGGTAAACAATTACCAAAACGTAATTCACAATCCTCATCATCCGTTTCAACATTACGACAACCATCATCGATTACAAATCTAATAAATCAATTTACATCGAATATGAATAATAATCAAAATAATAATAATAATCGTCGTTTTACATATGTTTGGCATCCACGATCATGGATTGATTTGATCTCTAATTATAATCAACAACAACAACAACAACGATAATTAAATTAATTAATTTCTCTCTCTGTGTGTGGGATTAGTAATTATTATTTTTCTTCGTTGATGTTGACACTTGAAGAAAAATGATTTATAATTTTTTTTTCTTACTCTTTTTTTTCAAATGTCAAATTTTGTCTCTCATTTTTCCACCCACGCACTGACTTGATATATATTTTTTTAATATTTGAAATGGGTGATAAAATACAATGAAATAAATAAATTATAATGAAACAACCAACCGAGAAAAACCAAGAAAAGAAATTAATAATCAACCCAAGATAATCCTATAATCTCTTATGATCATCGATGCGATGAAAAAAAAACGTTGATAAAAATAACGTCGTTTTTGAAAAGGATATTTTTAGTTATCAAAAATGGATATTGGACAATGATTATTATTATTATTGGGTTCATTGGCCATTGACCATTTACACGGCTACACTATGATAAACATTTAGGACAATTTCCGTTTTTTTGCATTTCTGTTTTCTTCGTTTTGTTTCTTATTGGACAAGTTAACAATTTTAAAAGATTATTATCAATTCAAAGATTTTCACCATATTTTTGTGTGATTTTCTCGAATCCAAACAAAACAAAAAAATCGCTAAGAAAGAAAAAAAGTATTTAAAAAAAACGAAACAAAATATCCATTTCCCACCCCCTTCAAAATCATCTTTGTTGTTGTTTCCTTCCAGAAAAATAAAAAATGAAAACTCATTATCATTGTCGTTATCAACGACAATCCATTTTGATTTTTTTTTGAAAAAACGAAAAAGTAAAATTGAAAATTATCATTATGATCAGCCGTTTTTTAATGATAAGCGAAATTCGGTTTTTTAACAAAAAAAACTTGAAACCATGTCATTTCGAAATAAGGTTTTTGAATCGATTTTCGAATGATTGTCACAATTTCTCTATTTTAACCTATATGGTATTGATAATAATGATTGTATGTTTTGATCAATTGACAACAGGAACTTGTAAACTTGTAATGTTTCTTGTTGTTGTTGAAAATGTAAACAACATTTTAATGCGAATGTAACGAATCGGTTGAACAAATTCATTTTTTGAAACAAAAAACAACAACAATGAAATTCTATCAAATTTCATTACGCCCAGAATAAATCAAGAATGAATTTTCTTACATCCCAGGTATTTTTACGGTTGACCATATTGTAACAATGGCAGGGCAACATAACGTTATTTTTCACTTGAATTGCGTGCAACACACGCTACACACCTGAAAAAAAAGTGTAACACGGTCGGTTGATTTGAATCAAGCAAATGAAAAATGAAAAAAAAATCAACCAAATAATAATCATCATTATCAACAACAACAACAACAACCATATGAAGAATACAACGATATTAGATCAGTAGTTTTACTTTACTTTTGTTTTGTTTTTCGTTTCACGGATCAAAAAATTTATATGCATGTTTTTGGCCATGTTTATAATTCAAAAATTCAAATGTTATTTATTAATTTTGAATGTGAAAATCTCTCTCTCTCTCTTGGCTATTGTAGTTCGCGTTTGTTGTTGTTGTTTTCATATCATTAACCTATGTAACCTACCTGTGTGTTTGTAAGTAATGTTATTTCCTTTTTTCTGAATGTTTGTTTGTTTGTTTGATCAACTTTTTTTGTTTATTTTCTCTATTTTCTTTTTTTGCTATTGTTATTCATTCATTCATTTTTTTTTGATGGCTGGCTATTGTTATATGGTTTGATTGGCTATCTTCTGATGAAAACAAATCATCATATCTCTTATGTAAACCCAGTAAACAAACGACATTTTCTCTTTTTTTCGCTTGTCAAAAGTAGCCAATTGTCATTTTTGGTTGTTGATACATTTACATGGTGCAAAAAAAAGTTGTTTTCCATTGACTTATTTGGTTCTGTTTTTTTTTTGGTTGCTTCGATCCAAATCGTTCTGTTTCAAATATTTCTTAACACAGATAACCGTATGACCAGAAAAAAACCCGAAACAAAACAAAAATAAGAATGTAAAAACATCATCAACAACGTTTCCGTTTCACAAACAACGTGTTTCAAAATTCTTCTTACGAAATTCTTTATTAATAATTTCATTTAAAATCAACCCAAACCCATTATCATCATCATCATAATGTCAATATCACCATTAGATTTTATTCTATTACAATTTGGTCAACCGGGTTATTATTTAATATTTTTATGTTTTTTATTTTGTTGTTTACAATTACCAATTGTATTTACTGAATATTTATTTAAATATTATCATTATGAACCACCGCATCGTTGTCGTCTTACCATTGATGATTTACAATCAAATCAACAATGGAAACATTTAATTAATGTACATAAAAATGAATGGTATCCATTAATTTTACAGCCATCCAAACAGCAAAATGATTATCGATCTAAAATCAATTTATTCGGTGTAACGAATATCAACCATAATTCATCATCTAGTCATTATCAACAACAAATATTCGATCAATGTAATATCTATATTGATCCTATTTATCATTGGAAAGGTAAACAATCATGTCCAAATGGTTGGGAATATTGGTGGCCATCATCATCCAATAGTGGAAAAAACCTTGTTACTGAATTTAATCTAGTTTGTGAACAAAAACAATCACTGTTGATATTAATGAATTTAATTTGTTTAAGTTCATTATTTGGTGCAATAATATTCGGTACAATTGCAGATCGTTTTGGTCGTTGTCGTATATTAAATTTAACTATTTATTTGTTTATTGCATCATCATTATCTGTTTATTTTGTTCAAGATTTTTTACAATTTTTAATTTTTTATAATCTACAAATATTTTTTGTTAATGTAAGTTTATTGTTTTGTAATTTCATTGTAACTTTTTTGTAATTAATTTTTTTATTTGTAAACAGGGATTACAAATATCAGCATATATACTATTGCTGGAATTATATCCAACACCATATCAATTACGTGCAAATTTTTTCTGGTTTATATTCTATTCATTGATATTAATATTAATATCATTATTAGTATTAGCAATTGATGATTGGCGTTATATGCAATTATCGATTGCAATACCAAGTTTTGCATTCATTACCTATCTGTTTGTATTACCATCATCACCATTATGGCAAACAATTGTTAAACAAAATCAAAAATCAGCCCTAAAAACATTGAAACATTTTAGTAAATTTAGTCAAAATTCAACAACCCAAACAACAGCGATTTCGTTGAATCAAATTCAACAACATTTACAGAATTTATTTACATCAACATTGACTGTTTGGATACAGCCATCATCGTTTGATCAACAACAACCATTGAATAATGATGATTACAGTATTCAATCACCATCATCGACAATCATTCATCAACAACAACAAACCCGACCAAGTTTATCTCGTCCTGGACCAATATTACGTTGGTTTTTATTAACAAATTTTTATCTATTTTTCGTTTTAACAATATTGAATTCCGAATTATTTGAAAAACATTCATTAAATTTGAATGAAAATCTTTTTATAAATACAATTTATAATACATTAATTGATTTATCATTTATAATTTTAATTTATCATCTTACAATTTGGTAATTTATTAATTTTTTAAAAAATCTATAAATTTTTTAATTTATAACTTTTTTCATTTACAAATCATAGGCTTGGTAGTCGTATTATACAATCATTATTATTTTTTATAAATGGCCTTTTGATAATCGTATCACTTGTATTACGTGAATATCTTATTGTTTATAAGGCAAAAGGTAATTATTATTATAATTTTTCTTTTATCTGATTTTCGGTAATTAAAAATCTCTCGTTTTTTCCCATTTTAATTAACTAAAAGTTGAACAAAATGATTTTGATTATCGATTATTATTAATACCACCAATCTTAATGGTAATTGCCCGATCAATTGGACGTATAATATTGATTTTTATTTCATTTCATGCAGTGAAATCAATACCAACAAATATAAGGTTTGTTTGAAATTTTTGTTCGGTGTGCAAAGGGTTAAATGTTCTAATTTCAAATGTTTTTAATCCACACAGAGCTACCGGTTTTGGTTGTTGTATATTTTGGATGCAAATCGCTCGTATTAGTATACCACATTTGATTGTTTTATCAAATTATCTTCCATTTCATTCATTAGAATTAATGTTTGGTATATTAGCATTATGTAATGGTGGTTTATCATTATTATATCCAAATTTAGAACAAAAACCATTACCAAATACATTGATTGATTTGGAAGAAACAAAACAATATTTATCATCATCATTCCAATCTTCAAAATCATCAACAATGGCCACAACAACAAGAAGGATTTCATCATTATCATCTTCGAAACGTTATCCAAGTTATCGTGATTTAAAAACATTTAATCAAACAATAAAAAATCAACAACGTTCAAATGGAAATGACATTTATATGATTAACAATGGTAATGGTGATTTATTTTCATTATCATCCAATTATAATACGATACATTCAACGCGTCAACGTTCATCGCCACCAACAACGCAGAACCTGAATAATGGCCACGAAATCCTAATTCATCGAAATGATTTACAAAATTCATTAAATTCATCAAATTCAAATTCAAATGGTGAAAATCATACCGAAACAACAAACAGTGATGAACGAATATCATTATCCGATTCACCATCAAATTCATTTCAAGCACAAATTATTCAAACAAGAAATAATAATTCAAGACCATCATATATACCATATAATAATAATGTTGATGATCCATTTTTACAAGAACTAAATAGTAGACTTCATCAATCACATGATGTTTAAATATTTTTTTTTATCTTTGTTTTTTTCATAATTAAAATTTTTTTTGTAAATTTGGAAAACTTTACGGAATTTTTCCATCATTTTCCTGTTTGGAAAATTTTCCCAGAAAAATTATTCTGCTCACCACATGGTTGGTTGCGTGGATTTTTTTCAATTTTGGATAATTTTTTTTGATTTAAAAGAAAAGAATTTTTAAAGAAACAAAATGCGTGTTGAAAAATGTTATTTTTGTTCATCACCGCTTTATCCGGGTCATGGTATTCAATTTGTACGAAATGATTGTAAGGTAAGTCGAGAAAAAAAACTCAGGTGAAATGAAAATTTCCAGAATTTTAACGGAAAATTTCCCCATTTGAAAACAATATTAGGTATTTAAATTTTGTCAATCAAAATGTCATAAAAATTTTAAACATAAATGTAATCCACGACGTAAACGATGGACAAAATCATTTCGTAAATCAAATGGTAAAGAATTGGCAATTGATTCAACATTTGAATTTGAAAAACGACGAAATATTCCTGTAAAATATTCACGTGAATTATGGTCAAAAACATTGGAAGCAATGAAACAGGTAAATCAAATTCGTCAAAAACGTGAAGCACATTTCATACAACAACGACAAATGAAAGCAACATTATTTGAACGTGAAAAAGATCGTCGTGAAGTAGCCAGAGATATTTCATTAATTAGATCAGCAAATGCTGGATTACGTATACCAAAAAAATCTAAAGTTAAAGTGATTAAAAGTACAGATATTGAAGATGATGAAATGTTATTAGATGAACAAGAACGACCACAACAACAATCGGATGATGATGATGAAGAAATGCAAAGCGATGATGAACAACATTCGCAACAAGCCATATTGAATGAATCATAAAATTTTTTTATTTCATCAATTTTCCTCATTATAATCCATTTTAAAACTTTTTTTTTTTGAAAAAATTAATTAAAAAATTAAAATTAATAAAAAAAAATTACGCTAAAATTCCACACAAGATGGCGAAACTTGTTCTTTAAAAAAATTTTTCCCATGAATTTTAAAATATTTTTCCATCTTTGTCCATTTGATGATGGTAATGATGTTTGCAACACCAGAAAATAAAAAATAAAAAATCTAGATTGGAATTTTTTCCATCATCATCAACAAAAAGTGTGGGCTTACTGTGTGATATTATGCAATGACATAACTGGGTTTTGGAAAAAATTTTTTTATCATTTTTCAAAAACGGACAAAAAATTTCATTTTTCATTATGTGGTCGTCCATAAAATTCAATTCAACCAACATTCTTTTCTGTTAGATGATTCGATAGATATGATAAAAGAAAGAAGAAAAAATTTAAATTTTAAATTTTTTTTTTCAAAAATTTATCATTTAGCTTTTTGTTGAACAACAAAAAAAAAACAATATCCTCTTGGTTGTATACGATAATCGATTGTTTGATTGATTGTTTCGATTCGATATAATCGATAGTCAAAAGAGATAGATGGATGAATCAATCAATCAATTAATCAGATCAAATAATAATCGATTTTTGGAAAAAAAAATTTTCAGTAAATATCCTTTCCAAGAAAATTTCTTTATTTTTAGACCTTTATTTTTTTGTTATTTATTAATTCTGATTAATTTTGTTTTCATCATCAAAAAATATTCACAGAATTCCTTTTAATGGATTAATGGGAAACAAAACAATCGCCGAACAGAATTTACATCACCGTTATATTTGTTTTCATCAGAATCATTTTTGTTTTTTTGACAGTTAGAAGTGGTATGGAATTGGTCTGAAAACATATTTTCTATATAAATTCCTTTAGATATTCCAGGAGGGTGACCGAAACCAAAAAGACAGAAAAAAATGGCGCCAAATTCATTGGAAATTGAAATTAAAAATATAGATCAAAGGAGAATACGCATGAGCGAATTCTTCTGTTACCGTTATCATCAGTTGCCCAAGAAAACCTGGATCAAAATGAACAAGAATATTCTCTCTTCACTTCATCAATATATAACCGGTTCCTGATAATTCTTTTTTGGTTGTTATTTTTTTTTATTATCCAAAAATGAAAATACCACTACCCCAGCGATATATCACATCATTTTGGATTCAACAAACCAAACAGAACAAAAAAATCGAAGAGGTGGGAGAAGCAGACATGATAAATTATATTAGAGGTTTTTTCTTTTTCTTCTTTTTTCGTTGTTTGATTTTGGTTTTTCTTCTTTTCGTTTGTTGAAATTTTTCTGGTTGTTTTTTTTTGTAACCAGAATATTCTTGATTTTTCTTTCGTTGAATTTGAATATGCAAAAAAATGACTGAATGATAACACGTGCTAGGTTTTTTGGTGCACGTGTTTTCATTTGATGAGGATTTTTTTTTGGTGGAAAATTTTCTGAAAAAGTTTCATATTTTTTCTCCAGCCAAACAGCAACAGTTAAAGAGGGAGAAATGTTTCTTTTTTTCATTCGCAAAAACAGAAAAAACAAAACACACACACATCAAGCCATTGTATCTTGTCCTTGGATCGTTGTTTTCATCATCATCATCATTTTATTTTATTTCATTTTTTTCCAACTTGCAATAGCTTCGGTTGTTGTTGCTGCAATGTGAGTTTGATGAGAAAAAATAATGGGGGGAGTGTAGGAAGGAGGGAGGAAGGATTCATTGTACATGTAGATATTGTTGTTGTTATTTTCTGGCTTATTTATCACCATATTTGACAACAACTACAACAACAACAACGAAAACAACAACAAAAAACTGAAAACATTTTAATATTGCAATCAGTTTACTTTACTTTTTTTTCGTTGCTGTTGATTGTTTCATTTGATATTGTTTTGGTTTACCTTTACAATATATTAGATTGATTAATAAATTGCAGGCAATTTATTAATTAATATCATCAGCATGATGATGATGATGATGAAAACATTGTTGTCATGTTGATAATGATAATGCTATCGATGTTTCAACAACCAAATCAAACCAAAAAAATGTCGAAATTTCATTAAAAAAAGAATGTTTTTTTTTCGGTTTTTTTTGGAAACAGATTCGATTCGATTCTATTTGCACTCAATAAGGTTCTGTTTGTTTTTTTCCCCCATAATACCGAGCGAGAAATCGAGAATCCTTTCTTTGTTTTATTCATTTTCAATTAATTTTTGGTTTTTCAAAAAAAAAAATAATTTTCAAATTGAAAATTTATTCTGAAATTGATGACATATACCTGCTGTAGGGTAAATTATCAAATTTGATTTGGATTTTTTTTTCTCGAAACAAACAAACGAAATGTCATCATTTCACGGATGAACTACAGAACGCATGCGTAAATTTCAAAAAGAAAGAAAGAAAAGAAGTTACGTTAATGAATTTTATTTCGATTAACTTTTTTACAGAAAGAAAGGACCCAGAATAATAATAATTCTTTGAATTCGAATTTTTACTTTATTAAAACCACCCCCTCCAAGCAAACAAATTCTGTAACACCCTCCCACACACACAAATATTTGTCATTTACGTAAACCGAAACAAAACCCAAAAAACAAAATTATTACGTCATTTAAAAACATCATCGATTTGTTTGTTTGTGTTTTTGCTGCTCTGTTCCGGTGAATCGGCATTGAAATCAAAAAAATTCAGATTTTTTTTTCTTCAAAAAAAAAATTATCGTAATTGTTACGCAAAAGATACGCATGCGTATCATTGACCAAACAAAAAACAAAAAAAAACCACATGTATGAATTTGAAACGGATAGAAAAAACATCCATCCATCCATCCATCACCATAATCACATTGAACTTGCTGCTGTTTTTTTTTTGTTTCCATTTCCTCACCCTCACACAATCACAATCATCATCACTGCCACTCCCACCCACACAATAACACACCCACTCAATTAACCAATCATCAACCAAATATATCGATGTCCTCCTCTCTGTTCAACACCCAGAAAATCAAAAAAAAAAAAAAAATCTATTTATCGCAGTCGATAACCTTTCATTCTTTCACTCAAATCTCTGGAAAATTCGCAGATTTTGATGCAATTTTTGTTTTGTTTATCTTTTTTTTCGTTATGTGAATAAAACAGAAGAGAAAAATATTGCATCTTTGATGCTGCTGCTGGATTTTCCTTTTGTCAATTTGAATTTTCTTGACTTTTTTTCTATTCGTTTGTAATCCATAACAAACCAAACCAAACCAAAAAAATTTGTTATGGATTTTCACACATGCGTACATCCCGAACAGAAGAGAAGAAAGAATTCAGTTTAAAGATTTCAATATTTTTGTTTCTCTGGCCAGAAAAAAAAATCATATCCAACAAGCAAGCAAGGATGCGCTAAAAGATTTGTGTGTGTGTGTGTGTGAGGTAGTGGCGCCATTTCATTTTATTCAAAAACGAAATCGGGGCGTCCAACGAACCAAGAAAATGAACAACAACGAAGATGGATAGTCAGTGACTGAGAGAGAAAAAAAAAGTTCAACAAAAGAAGAAAAAAGAAATGAAACGAAAGTTCAGGTCGTTGTTCATTGACGGACAAGTTGACGGGTCATTGACGGTGTGTTTTTGTTGTTGTTGTTTTTTTTTGTTACTTCAAAAAAGGATGTTTACATGATGATGTTTATGTTTATGTTTGTTGTTAATATTGTGGAATACGCATGTCATTTGTGAATTTTTTTTTTGAAAATAATTTTCTCTCTGTATTTTTTACCATGGGGACCATAATCATTGGGATTTTTATTTTTGAAATTTCCAATCAAAATTAACTCGGAATTTTCAATTAAAAAACTGAATGAAAAATCGTTTAAAACACGTGTTTCTAGAAAGGCTAATACATTTTGGTTTCTTTTTTTCTGGTTTCCGAATAAATTCTTTTGACCAAGTTTGTCAAACCAGAAAAAAACTTTGAAAATAAAGGCGCCAAACAAAAAACAAACAAAATTCTGACAATTTGGATCATCGTTGTTGTTGCTGTTGTTACGCCCTTAATTTATGTTTCAAGAAGGAGGAGGAGGAGGAAAGAAAGAAAAAAAAGAGGAGGAAAATACAAGTGACAAGTAGTGGTAATTGATAAAGATATCACCGATTGTTAACTATATATCTTCCCGTTCAAAATTATACCGCTATTATCAGATTGGGCGGAGCATTGCGTCGTCTGTTGCTGCAGCCATGAAAACCTTATTGGATAAAATTAAAAAAAATTAAGGCAGGAGTATGTATACAATGCAACTATATTGCGCCGTGATATATATGCATGCATGCAGCTGCAATCAAGATAAACATACTCCCTCCTCAAACAACAACAGCAAAAAAAAATGAAGAAATTTTTCAAAAAAAAAAAGAAAATCTTTTTTTTTGATTAAATTCCAGATGTAATTTGCCTAATGTTGTTGTTGTTGGAACAAAAACCGACTGATAATAAAACCGATAATGGACATTTGCATGCATGCGAACCATGAATGCAACCATAAATATATTCGCAGAAGTCGATTTTTTTTTTTTTTTGTTTCGCCAAAAAACAAGAAAAAAATCTTATCTAATCAGAACGAAAACAACTACTTATATGATTGATCGATTGATTGATTATGGAATCGATATATTTTTTGTTTGCATCTTTTGCATCGAAAAATTGCTGCTGGTGGTGGTGTTTTTTTGGTTATTAATTATCCAAAAAAGAATAACTTTTTTTTTGGATCACAAAGTTTTTGGATTGCCCTTTTTTTCATCACTAGATAGATAGATAAATATTCCTACGCAATATGGTCATTATTTTATTATTCGAATATTTTTTTCCTGCCTGCCTGACTGCAACAACAACAACAACAACAAAAAACATTAAGCAAAATAGGAAAAAAAATGAACTAAACAGCAAAAGCAACAGAAAAAAAAGTTGAAAAAAATTGATTCCAAGTACGCGCCAAGTTTTTTTTTCAAGATTTTTATCCAGCCAGCCAGCCAGCCAGTAAGTCAGTCAGTCAGTCACACAGTTCACACCGTATGGAAACAGAAGAAGAAAAAAAAGATTCGCCTACAAATCGAGAATCTTTGACTTGGTGTCTTGTGGTTGCCGTCGAAAGAATCGTTTCGGTAAAGAATCATATGAAATTTTTTTTCATTTATCATCATCATCATCATTCTATATGGATGGTGGATCCAGAAGATTTTTTTTTCTGTATTTTCCATCAACCAAAACAACAGCAGCAACATCTATTTGATTCATTATTATCCTGAAGGTAGTGGTATGAAAATATGTTGATCAATATGATCTATGGTTCCAAAATCTAATGCTACTACCATGTTTTTTTTGGATATATATCCAAAGGATTCTACCACTAGTTCTATATATACAAAACGTAAACATTACGACACATGCGTAATTTTTCGTTTACGTTTGTTTCTTTGGTCACATAATTGTAAATACAGATATACAACCTGTGTGTGTTGCGGCATTGGTCACAATATAATCAATTATTGAATAAATGCGTTTTGGAATAGTGGTTTTCTTTAATCATCATTAAACGAAAACCAAAACGGTATTGAAAAAAATGTAAAATTTTTGAAAATTAAAAAAAATTATTATTGTAATTCTTAAATTGATTTATAAAAATTCATTTGGTAACGTCAGTTTTTTTACGTAAAATTTCTTTAATTTTTTTTGTAATTAAAAACAAACAAAATATCCTCTTCCTCCTCCTCCTGTTTTGGCTCATCCTCATCATCACAGTGTGGGAGGGAGATAAAGGGACAATCAACAAACAAACCAACAGAAAATGATTTTTTCGGATTTTCAACATTGAAAATTTGAATTTTTCAAAAAAAAAAAAGAAAAGAAAAGAATCAGTTTTGTCCAGACGAATCCTAATGAAAAATAAAACAAAAAAATTCAAATTTTCAACCAAAAAAGTTTGATTTTCTGAAATAAAGTCACATCATTCGAACACAAACAAACAAACACACAAGGTTCTTCTTTATCCTCCTCCTCTTCCTCCGCCCATTTTCTTCGCATATTGGTCCGTTCATTCTCATAATCAGATTGGATTGTTGTTGTTGTCGTCGTCGTCGTCGTCGTACATGCAGCAAAAGCATGCATGCAAGGCAAAAAAAGAGAAGAGAAGAGAAAAAAACGGATGAAGAAGATGCGTGTGGAAAAGGGGGAGGACGAATAATCAAAAAAGAAAAAGTGGTAGCGGTAAAACCAAAGTAAAGAAGCAGCGGTTTTTTTTTACTGATCATCAACAACAACATCCAATAGACATATTGTGTGTTTGAACGAAAAACTAATCAGGTTTTTGTTTAGTTTGCATTTAGCATTCAATTGATGATGTTCACTATTCTTTAGTCTCAAAAAAAGTTTTCTTTTTTTTTACTTACATTCCGCATCAAAATAATGATAAATTTTTTTTTTGTGTGTTTTCGAAATGAAATGAAATGAAAATACTTTGTGCCCATTTCTCTTTGCCTTGTTTATTTTTCAACCAATTTGATTTGTTTGTTTGTTGTCGTTGGTGGCGCATCCTATGATTTTTGATTTTTTGATTTTGAAAAATTCAATTTTTTTTTTGAACGAAAAAGACTTTCAAAGATTCTTTTTCGATGTGAATTTTAAAAGAATTTTTCTTTTCTCGTTTTTTTGAATTTTGGCGCGCGCACTCAAGTTTTCTCAAATATTCTTTTGTTTTTCTTCTGTTTCTCGAAACATTCTCTCTCGTCAACAATTCCTTCCGGAAAATATTTTATTTTGTTTTTGCAAAATAATAAATCTGTGCAATCCATGTTGTGTGTTTTTTTTTGCTTGTTTGTTTTTGTTTTGAATCTAGTTTTTCCATTCATCTTCATCATCCGAAAATAAATTGCATGTTTTTATGTGACAAAAAAATTATTTCATCAAACGAAAAAAACAAGCAATTTTTTCATTTCAAACATCATCGACAAACGTCATTTATGAATTGAACATTCGGAAACATTCGAATTTTTTTTTGGAAAAACGTTCGAATTTCTGTTCTGATTGAATTCGAAAAAACAAAACAAGAAAAATTCTTTGGAAATTTTATCCGGTTTTTTGTTTTGTTTTTTTTTTTGGTTTCCAGAATCCGAAATTCTTTCATGGTAAGTCAAAGTTTTTATCTGCTTAACCTTTGCTCTAAAAAAATTCCAAAAAAACAATGATGTTTTTTTGTGTAACTTCGAATCAAACAACGATGACAGCAACATATTCGTTGTAAAATATTGATTTTTTGTTTTATTTTAGCCAATGTATTCATCAACAACAACAACAACAACATTTCTTTTTCTGGATAACCAAGATATCGGCTTTTTTTTTCTTTTTGTTGTATCTTTCAATACATTCTCTCTAAAAAAAAATGAACACGCGCATACTCGATGATTTTTCAATGATAAAACATTTTTGTTGTTGTTGATTGAAGCTATATCTATAACTAACCAACAGTTTTAATTAGAAATCTTTTGCTTTTTTTTCGATTTAATCAATCATCATCATCATCATATCAAAAATAACATTTTGCTATTTTAAATATGTGTGATAAAATTGGCTATCATTATCATATCGCTAAAGATTTATTCTTTCAAAATGCTGATAAATTGGATGATCGAATCAAATCAATTGAATTGAATTTCTTCGTCATCCATCCAATTTAGTGTCCACAAAACACACAGATATTTTATTTGTTTTTGTTTTTTTTGAAAAGAATTTTTGTTTTTGGATATTTTACTCGATTTTTTTTGTTGTTGTCCACATTCGATTCGATCTATCTATTTATTTTTATGATGATGATTTTTTCTTCAAAATAATTTTGTTTTGTTTTGTTTTGTTTTTTTTTTTTGGTAGTGGTGGTGGTGATCGAGAATATAGGATAAGGAGATAGAGAAGATAGATGTATTGATGTTGGATGTTGTGTCCTGTTTTTTCTGTTTTTTTGTACATTTCAATATGCTTCCCATACAATTTAATGTTTGTTGTTGTTGTATGTCAAACAAACAAACAAAAATATGAATGGTAACGCACTCTGCCGGTAATGATTGACATTTTTTTGGATTTTTGGAAATGTTTTTTGGATTTTGTGAAGGAATCTTGAATTTTTTTTAGTTGTTTTTTTTTTGTCAATTCAAATGAAAATTGTATTACACGCGCGCGTACGAATCAATCGGTAAAAAATAGAAAATCACCTGGTTTAGAAAAAAAAGTGAATGACTGGCTGAGTGGACTGACTGCGCGAGCTTTTTTAGTATATGGCTCGCGTCGTACATTGTTTCTTTTTTTTTTTTGCCTGTGTGAAAGAAAACGAAAACGAAAAGATAGACGACGACCCTACATGCCTTGACATCCGGCCATTGGCTTGATTGAATTTTTTTTTTAGTTCGCGGAGGCTGTATAGCTTGCGCAAACTGCCGATGTTTGAATGAAATGAATGGTTGATTGGTTGGTTGGTGACCGACCGTCCAATTCAGCCATATCTAAGTCATTCACCAGAAAAAAGATAGAAAGAAAGAAGTGTAAGCGTGGTGGTGGCGGTGTGGTTGTGGCCAAAAAAGCGCAGAACATGCATTATATTTTTTTGTTTGTTTGTTGGAAACATTTTGGGTAATATTATTTTCCGAAAAGTTTTTTTATGTTCAATATTGCTCGCGAATCATGGCAGGTGCGTTTTTTGTTGTTGTTGTTGAATAGACCTAGCTTTTTGTTTGGTGTATATCGATCAATGAAAAAGCAAAAGAAAAAAATGGCTACCGATTTCGGTACCGAAATTTTGTTTGGAAATTTTTCGGAAACATTTTATTTCCCTTGAAAATTTACAGAATTTAATTTAATTTTTTCTCTCTTTTTTCAGATAAATTAGAAATCCATAACAATTTGACCAATCAACCAATGGATGATTAATATTGAAGATTTATACCAAGGTTAGTATCTTGTTTTTGTGTTGTTTTGTTTTGTTTGGAAATTGATAATGATAATAGAAAAAAAATCAATTGATTTTTGTTTTTGTATCGATAATCAATCAATCAATATTTCTTTCTCTCTCTTTTAACCAGTGATTTTTTTTCTCAATTTTTCATTCACTATCGCTTAATATATATTTGTTTTCAATTTGCGCGTATTGTGATTTGTGATTTGTTGTTTTTGTTTTATTGTCGCAAAATAATTTTCGATAACCGAAAATGTAAGAAAAAAAAAAGAAAAAGAAAAATCAGAGATTTTTTGAAGGTAATGAATTCGAATGGCCAACAAAAAAAACCAAAACCAAAATGCTGGACCAATTTCATTGTGAAAATTTACATCAACTTTACTTTACTGATTGACAGACTTACTGACTGACTGACTGAATGATTGTTTGTTTGTCGAATGATGACAGCAAATCTTTTGGAAATTCATAACAAAACAAAACGAAAACATCTTATATTTGTAAAATTATTACATAATATTTACAACTTTTTTTTAAAAAAATTTCTAACTAAACTAACTAAATAGCAAAATTTGACATTTTGTTTAGTTTTTTTTTGTTTTGAAAAATTTTTGTCTTTCACACATACACAACAAATGAAAATCATTGCCATCAACTTTAATTAACCTATTGTTTTGTTTTTTGTTGGGAAAAATTCTGCAGAAAAAATAATATTTTGTTTCAACAGAATTAAGAAAAATGAACATTTTTGAAGATTTTTTTTTGTAAATGATTCCGGGAACTTTTTTTTGCCAAAGAGGATTATTTTCATCAAAAAAAATAATGATGTGTTTAGGTGTTATTTTTTGCCATTTTGTTTTGCTGTGTGATTGAATGAATAAAATTTTTGTTGTTGTTGTTTTTGTTGTTTGTTGTTGTCGAAATTTTTAACCAAAAATAATAATTTTGTTTTCCACACAGGTAACAGGTGCAAAAAATATATCATCATCAATTTTGGACATTGATAATCAATGAGAAATTGCAATCGATCGATTGATTTGTTTTGTTTTACTTTTACCCCAATCTGACAAATTGAATCATCATTTGGAACAAAAAAAGAAAAAATTAAAAGAAAAGAAAGGATTCTATTGAATGTTTGTTTGTTTGAAGAATATTCCTTTGGGAATTTCAATGTTTTTTGTTTTGTTATTTGATTCTCTTTGTTTGTGTGTGGGTGTTTGATCTTTTTTTGCCTTGACATTCATGGTTTGTTTATCTTGATTAGATTAATCATTTCGTTTTATTCTAGGTTTTGTTGTTGTTGTTGTTGTTCCAATTGGAACATTTCCAAAATGGAATATTCTATTTATTAGAATCGAATCGATCAATCAATCAATTTAGAGAATATGATTTAGGATTTAACATTGCCTTTAGGCTTGATAGCTTACGCGAGAGACTAATTGTGAAAAATACAAAATCCGAAAAATTCCCCGGGAAATTTATTTCCAAAGAAATTTTTTTCTCAAGTTTCTGGAAAGTTTTTTTTTCTGTTTTCAACCAACCAATGTACCAGAGGTCAATTCATTTTGTTGTTGTCTTTCTTTCTCCACTTTTAGGTCATTGGAATTTCTACAAAAAAAATTGTTGTTGTTATCCAAGAACCTGCTTCTTATTTTTTATCAAAACAACAACAACAACAAAAAATGCGCGGCATTCATGTGCGCAGCAAAGTAAAGTGTCCCACTTTTGTTTCTCTTTTCAAATTGATAAATTCAAAAAAATAAAATAACGGCAAAAGAGAAAAATGATGAATTTTGTTTGTTGAATAACCGATTTTTGATTTTTTTTCCTCTTTTTTCGTCAATGTTGTTGACTTTTTTTTCAAAAAAATCAAAAAATAAATAACCGGACCGGATCAACAACTTTTTTCAACAAAAATAAAAAAAAGATGGCCACCATCATCATCATCAATTCACATTACCCTCAATTCTCTCTTTTTGCTGTTTTGTTTTGTGTTTCAATCAGCAAAACAAAAATTGATTGAAGAAAAAATGTTTACAGTTTTTGAAAATTGTCAATTTTTTCGCTGAAATAAACCAACCCCCACAAAAAAATATGACAATACAAATTTCCGGAAAATTTTTTCCGGAAACTTTCTTGATTTATAATTTTTCTTTCCCCTTTCTCATCACTCACCTCACACAAACACTCTATTCTGGATTCTTTTTTTTTACAGAATTTTTATTCTGTTTGTTTTCCATCAGCGAAAACAAAAAAAAATTCCGGTATCCATGGATATGGAACCAATTCTCTTGGTTAGTTTTTGATTATTTTCCGCACAATTCTCTTGGTTTTGTTTATTTTTCAATTAAACCCAAAAGAAAAATAATGATGATGAAACAACGGTAAAAGGTGTGATAGGGAGAGATCCAAAAAACTTTATTACCGAATAAAACCACTATTTAGACACATTTAGATATCATCATTGTATAATAGCGAGTGATACATCCCACCAAAAATTGGTTCTTCGATGATGGATGAATGAATAAGGTAAATAGATTGAGGGAGGAAGAGAATAATTATTCTGTTTTTACGATTCTTTGGGTTTAGTGTTGGTGATCTCTTTTTTTGATTAGTTTTTGTGGTAGTAGTGGTAAATATCTTCATTTTATCTTGTGGTCACTATTATCATTATTTGGATTATCCATTCAGATGAACTAGTAGTAGTGGTATTATTCAATGGATTTAAAATGATGGGGGGGAGGTATCTGTTTTTTTGTTGTTGTTTATCTATCTGGTTCAATATCACTACCACTACCTTGTTTTTTTGAAGGGGGAGGAAATGTAAACAAATGTAATACGGGAAGAGGAGGAGGAGGAAAAATGATATAGGATTTCTTGTTTACCACTACGACAATGATGATCGATAAAAAATTTTTGAAATTTTCAAAGTTTTTTTCTATTTGGCGGGATTTTCTGGTTTAAATAATTCAATTTTTTAGCCAAAAGTAAGTTGGGGTTAAGAAGAAGAAGATAAAAGTTTCTTTGGATTTTTTCTGGCCAATGTTGTTGCTATTGTCAAGTTTGATTTCTTTTATCAATTTTCACTACTACTCTACTCTACATTATAGACAGATCTTATTTCCAATTCTTGACTCAATATTGCATCAACATTATCATCATCAAATCAAATCACGCACACAAACGTAAATTGTACATCGTATCGTAGATAAAAATTGGTTAGTGGTGGTGATTGGTGAAAGTTGTGTGCATTTAGAATGTCTAATCGATGATAATAATGATTTCTGATATCAATCGATAATTATTTTCTGATAAGAAAATTTTTTTCTGGTCATTTATAAATCAGAAAAATAGAAAATAGAAAATTACTTTACTTTTGTCATTCCTCAACCATCATCTCATTATTATTAGTTAGTTAGTTAGTTAGTTGGTTGATTTTTGCTTGAAAAATTGAGAATTAATAATTACAACAACAACAGCAATACCGACAACAACAAAATTAACTGCGCATCATTTTCATTAATCGATTTTTTCATCCAAAAATCACTTCATCATCATCATCATCATCATCGTTGTTTTTAATTAGAATAATTTTTTTTTTTAAATTGAATTCTACATAAAATTCCATTATTCTGTGATTCTGGTATGTATGTGTTTTTCTGTAGTGAAATTCTGTTCTATAGAATATTCTCTATATTGATTAAGTTTTTTTTCAAATGGTAGAATTCAATAAACAACATTAACCATTTCAATTAGTTTGATTAGATGATTTCATCATCATCACCAACAACAATAACGTCATTGTAATTCCGAAAATGTTTCCCGTTTTTTACATTGGGAAAAAATTATTTCCTGTAAAGTTTTTTTTTGAAAATTTTTTAAAAATTTCAAAAAAAGCAAGAGAAAAAGAATCTATTGAGTAAGTTTGGTTGATTCTAGTTGTACATTTTTTCTTTCTAGGAAAATTTCTCTGGAAATGCACGTGCATGATTTTGTTGCACGCGTTTCTCTTCTCCCCCCCCATGAACATCATCATCATCTCCATTAGTTTTTCCTACTCTCTCTCTCTCTCTCTCTCTCTCTCTCTACTCTCGGATCTATTATTTGGGTGCGTTTGAGTTTGGCAGATGTCCATTTTTTTTTGGTGTTCGGTTTGTGTATTCAGGCTGGTTGTTTTTGTTTTTGTTTCTTTGGAACGCGATGAGTCATACCGGGATTTTTTTTCGGTTTGCTTGTTCCAGAAACATACATACATGTGGGACATGTGTTAGATATAAACAAACAAAAACAAAAATTAGCAGAATAGAATCTGTTTGGATTTTTGATCAACCCCTCCATCAACTATTTCGATCCTAATCAAATCAATACCGACAACAAAATAGTGGCCAAATAGAAAGAATCATTTTCCTTCAAAACAGAATTTTTGACAGATTTTTATTCAATGTGCGCATGAGCAGCTCATGCGATTTTTTTTTGAAATAAAAAAAAACATTGAAAATGAAAAAAGATAATTTTTGTTTGAAAGAAAAAAGTGAGAAATGAAATGAGCAACAGGTAAATTTTGATGTTTTGATGTTTCATTTTTTTTCTCCTTCTTCGTTTGTATCATAGGGGTTTCACACTAGCAGCAATGTGAATGAAATATTTCATTCCGGTATCCATGGATAT